ACTCTTAATAATACCCATAATCCTCTGCTTCTATGTATCAGATCACCCGGAGTCACTACCAGAATGCAGTAACAGCTACCCGGATGGACAGCTCCCCTCAGACCCCTGATGCTGACACCCGTCTGACAGAAAGCAACTCCCCGACCCCCGGGCCTCCAGCACCAGAGCCCACCACCGCCACACTGATGCCCCCAGACCACACTACTGCCACCCTTATGCCTCCACCCAGGGAGCCAAGTCGGCCCAGTTCAGCCCGAACCCGGGGACAGCAGTCCAGTGTGCCGCACAGCACCTCCCTGCTGAATGAGAAGAACCGCATTGTCCGTAAGTATCCTCGACTCCAGAGACACGGAGTCATGCCGTGACAACAGGGATGACTTGAAGCAGGTTTCATGTCACAGTGATGTCAGTAAGAGATTATTTGAGCCATCAGAGGTAGAAGGCCATGCCACTCCTGCAAATGAGTTTTTTCCTAAATCGATAAGGGTGTAATATTCAGCATGACTGGAATTTAATACCCTGAGCTCCCTAAAACAGCATGTTTAAAAACGAGTGAGAGATAAAACCACAGAGTGAAATATAGAGACAATACTAATGACATGAGATGTGTGGGTTTCTTTGTTTTTTCTACTTGAGAAAAAGTTTAAGTGTCGGCCCTGAGAGCTGTGTTAGTATTCATTTCCTTAAGTAATTAATTTCTGGTTTTTGGATTAAAATTAAACATTAGATGGCAAATCAAAGTTTAAAGGATTTCTGGTTAGATGAGGTAAAACATTAAGATAACATGTAATGGCCACATTTACTATTCCAGTTTTTCTAATTTTTAATTTCATTATTATTCAAGTAAAAACTTCCTTTGACTTATTATTTAATGTATGCTTTTGACATGTCGCGACAAATGCTTTTGACACCGAGTCTCTACAGTCTTGGTTGGAGACTGCAGCTCGACCAAAATGAACTTTCTTTGCCTTTGAAATGGTCAGTTTGAAGGCTGGGACCAGATCTGCAGTCACTCACAGTCAGCTGCCATCTTCAAAGTGATTTTAGTGCATCGAGACAGCAATAAAACAACAATGGGACGTCATCAGTCTGCTATCAGTTTGAGATTGAATGGGTTGACAGTTACATGCAAGCTGTGATAGTATAACTGAGATAAATTGGTGAAAAGTACAGATGTGCTGCACTCTTCAATCACAGAAATTCATATTAAACTACTTGAACATTAAACTAACTACTTACGTTCAGAGGCCACCCAGCTGGTAGGTCAGCAACAGAAATTCTGTTGCTGCAAGATAACAATTTAGCTGCAAAATGACACAGGTGCTCTGCAGCGGTTTACAGGAATATAACCACATTACAACCAGCTGAGGTGAGTGTCCTACTGCAAACAGATGCCTTGGTGCATGCTGACTTAGACAGATTGCAGCCTGTTGGAAATCTGTCTGCATTTATAAATTAGCCTACCTTTGCCAAACTGCCTGAGGCCGATTGCTGTCAGTGCAGCTCAGACCACAGCAGTTTGGGGCGTTGCACCCTGAACTTCTGGGCACTGAAGTTGTGACTGCATCTACTTTAAATTTGCTCCAAATGTGAAAACATTCAATGCAAACATCAGCCACTGATTTTTTTCCTCTAGTGTGACTGAGCCATTAAGAAGTCATGTTAAAACCAATATTAGGATAGTTAACATAAGCTTTTTTTTAGAATTGGTAAATGGACTGGTTCTTATATAGTGCTTTTCTACTTTACCTGAGCACTCAAAGCACTTTATACATCCTGGCTCGTTCACCCAGTCACGTGCTTTTTCTCTGCTTTTTCTACATTAGTGCTTTCACATACACTCATAGTCCGATGGATCCATCAGAGACATGGTGTTAGCATCTTGCCCAAGGAGTAGATGGTACCTACCTGTAGTGATAGAGCCGCCAGTGGACTCTAGTCAATGTTTGGAGGATCAGGACATTGTTCCACATGTAGGACAGAGCCGCAGTTAACCCACTGCAGACCTGCTGTCATTGCTGGAAATACTCAGTTTGGTTGAAGTATTTCCCTGGAAACTGCTTCAAATACTTCAAAAAGCTTTAGGATTAGTGAATCCTAAACTCTGTAGGATTCACTCACTTGCTAACTGGTGACCTTTATCAACTCTACTAGCATATAGCAAACAGGAAATTGGAGAGACTTTATACCAGGAAACTGAAAGGTTAGAGCCATTGTCACCTACTATCTAATCTAGAGTTTCAGTGAGTGGTTGCTATTTTATTTTCATCCATAATTATTATGCTAAACAATTATGTTGTATAACTTATTGTTCAACATTTGGTATATTAAATTATCTACTCTGTAAAGTTATCCAGTTTTTTTAAAGGTGATTTCCGAGTCTAACATGGGATTCAAACATTTCAAAACCCAAAACCAAGAAAAACATGTTATTTCTGCTAAAAACAGTTTTATTCACTAATCAGTAAAAGATTTCACATCCTTTAAATGTCCAGTAAATCCAGTAAAAAATCCAGTAAAACAAACTACATCATGTGTTTTTTGATGTACATGTTTCTGTGGATGCGTCTGCTGCAGGTAGCAAGTCTGATGGCCAGAAGAGTCCGAGTGATTCGGTGTTTCTGAGGATGGATGAGATCCCCTACATCAGAGAGGACAGATGTGAGCCTGGTTAGTCGAACTTTTTATGTTAAAAAATAAACGCTTCCACACAAAATATAGGTACAGAGAGGAAGTCACGTCCATGTCTTTAACGGTGACAGCAGACATGAAACGTATACAACACTAAAATATTCCAAAAGAACACACTCGTCACAGCACACATCATCACGGAAAATCTTTTTCTGCATTAATGCATGTAAGGCAGGTTTACCACCAGCTTCAATCCTTGAAAAAAGCTTGAAAACTCCAAACACAAACATAATATAACAGATATTTTTAGCACAGAGTCACACAGGACTTTAGTCTGTCCTCTAGCAGAGACCAAAGCTATTTATCACTGACAGGTCATAATCTCTCTCTCTCTTTCTCTCTCTGTCTCTCCCTCTCAGACATGGCCTCTGTTCCCATAGAAACGGACACATCCCCTTTCATCAGCAGCCTGTCGCTGAGTGGTTCAGAGGACACACTGGGCAAGAAACTGCTGCTCAAACTAAGTCAGTCACACACAAGCCACCTATTCTCCAACCCTTTCTATTCATTTCACTCACTTCCTACTTGGATTTGATTCACATGCAAACACACACACACGGGCGCACACACACACACACACACACACACACACACACACACACACAC